AGGGATTAAGGCTATCAACTGAAGAGTGACTAGAGCCCCTGCATCATATCCAGACTCACATAGTCTAATATCCCATATTTTACAGATATTCCAATCTTTTGCCTTTTTACCTTGTTTTCTGAAGGTTATTTTTACAGGCTTACAGAGGTGTGGGACAGGTCCTGGGCAAATTATGCCACAATGGTATCAGATTTAGGATCAGTGGGGACACTATTAGGTTTTTGGTGGAGTGAGATGAGGTCTGTTGTGACTGGGGCCTTCTACCACATGTGTTCAGTAGACTCATGCTGTGGCATGGTCTGTATGTCAAATGTGTTGCTGATTGGTCAATGAATAAATCACTGATTGGTCAGTGGCCAGGCAGGAAGTATAGGTGGGACTAACAGAGAGGAGAATAGAGCTGGGAAGGAAGGCTGAGTCAGAGAGGCATTGCCAGCCGCCACCATGACAAGCCGCATGTGAAGATGCCGGTAAGCCACGAGCCATGTGGCAAGGTATAGATTTATGGAAATGGATTAATTTAAGCTGTAAGAACAGTTAGCAAGAAGCCTGCCACAGCCATACAGTTTGCAACCAATATAAGTCTCTGTTTACTTGGTTGGGTCTGAGTGGCTGTGGGACTGGCGGGTGAGAGAGTTTGTCCTGACTGTGGGCCAGGCAGGAAAACATTAGCTACAGACTCACAACTCCAAACCTTACAAAGTTAGTCAGATGGGCCCCCAATTTGTTAGCTCTTAATTTTTCCCAGCCTAGACAGACATAAAAACATGCCCTCCTTAAATGATCAGTTGCCCATATAGTTGTACACCAAATATCCCAGGCTTATCTTTCTAGTGAGGGCCTGCTATTTTACAAATGTCAAAAACAATGTCAGGAAACCATATCCCCAGTTGGATGGCTTTAGAGATCTGCTTGACCAGGTGTCCATGGGTGTCTAAAACCTGCCAAGTGAGATTTAGGCATTGATGTGGGCTACTAACGGCCCCATCTGATGTTAGGAGGGCAAGGAACAAAGCAGGTATCAATATGGCCATCGGGAGATCTGACCTTCAGTTTAAGTCTCAGGAGGCTGTCAGGATCAAGTTTTGCCGTCCAATTCCAGCAGGGTCTGCTGCCTCCTGATGATCTCAGTGGCTCCTTCAACTCTGGATCAGATACATGGACATGGGAGTGTGGATCCAGTTGGCAATTCCATCAACTTTGATGGCAGTGGCTGTGGTCAGAATCACAGTGTAGGGTACCTTCCAGTGAGGCTCTAGGGTTCTGTGCTGATGTCTGCGGACATAGACCCAATCTCTGAGCTGGAACTGGTGCAAAGTGGGTGGAGGGGCTTTTTCACCCATCTCTTGTAATCAAGGGCAGATATCTTTGAATACTGAGGCTGCTGCATTTACGGAGGCAAACAAGTTAGCATCATTAAACTCAGTGATCAATTTTGACCACAAATTGGCAACTATGAGAGAGAGAGTCTACCGAACAGGATCTCAAATGATGCGAGTCCAAGTGTATACAGAGAGTTTTGCACTTGATACAGGGCAAAAGGAAGGAGAGACACTCAATCTCTGCCAGTCTCCATGACTGACAATTTGGTAAGGGTCTCTTTTAGCACCTGATTCATATGCTCTACTTGTCCAAACTTTGCAGCCTGTAAGCACAATGTATTTCCAAACCACCCTCAAAAGCTTAACTAAGCTTTGAATTACCTAGGCAGCAAATGTGGGTCCCTTATCTGAGTCTAGCGATTCAGGCATTCCATACATGGGGATAATGTCATCTAGAAGCTTTTTGACCACCATCTGGGCCTTCTTGTGCTTGGCAGGGAAGACTTTTACCCATTCTGAAAAGTATCTATAAAAACTAATAGATATTTATAGCCATATTTTCCAGGCTTTACCTCAGTGAAGCCAGTCTCTCAATGAGACCCTGGGTGGTCCCCTCTCAGCCACACTCTGTGCTGCCTCTGGTGGGTTTGGGGTTAGTTAGCCAGCAGGCCAGCCTTTTAGAGGATATCTCTTCCACCTTGAGATGAGATTGTCTCCCAGGTACCCAAGCCATTCCGCCAGTGCATTCACTTAGATTTTATGCGGGCTTCACAGACGAAACTCCAACAGCTAGAATCAGCCAGACACAAAAACCAGAAACTGAAAGGAGAGCTTGCCTGTGCAAATTAGAAAATTACCTGATAGTAGGCACTGTAAGACTGAATGGCAGGTGGTTGTGGTAGGTTTGGGGAATCTCAGTGGAACTTCCAAAATGATGTGCCCAGAGACCAAAATCCCAAAGACCACCAAGTGACCAGATCTGATGCAAAAGCAAAGAATCTTTTATTGCAAGTTAACTTGGGCCTCTCCCTCTGTCTGTCACAGCAGTGGGGCAGGAGAGAACCCAAGTAGCAATGGAGCAGGGTATTTATAGGTAAAGCAAGGGGGTCTGGGGGCCTATGGGCTGCATAGGAACAGACCCAGAATTGGTGTAACTCCCAGTCAGAGGTGCTGTCCTTGGCTTAATTGGTCAGTTGCAGCTGCAGGGAAGTTATTTTTCTCTTATAGCAGTTGCTGTGGTTACTACATTTTATCTTTATTATGATCCTGCTATTTGTAATTTTAATTTTTTTATCATGTGGGGACATCTGGTGGGGGAATTTTAGCAAATAGAGCTAGGCCCAAGGTCAGTGACTCAAGGGCACATCTTGCTGAGCCCAGGGCCTACACCCTGCTAGGTCTTTTCCACAGCCTATCATGGTTGCAGAATGGCCAAGCCAGGGGTCTAGGCAAGGGTCTGGGTTCCTCAGGTGAAAGTTTTGAACTGCTTCCTTCAGCTTGTCCTCTGACCTCCAAACACACAGTGGCATGTTTACCCACAGACAGACGGTCACAAACATACACAACTAAAGAGAATTTAGAATGCTGTATCAGACTTCTTTCAAATGTACAAAAGAGTGTAGCATCTTATATATATTTAAAAGATATGCTACATTGATTTAGCATTCACTCCATTGTAATTCCAGTACTTGGGAAAGATAGGTAGGAGTATTGGAGTTGCAGGTTATCCTGTCTCCACACTAAATTCAAGGTCTACATAGTTGGAGGCCAGCCTGGTCTACATGAACCCAAAAAACACAAATCCAAACAAGAGCAAACCAGAAACCAAAATAACAACAAATTATCTTTCTCCAGGTGCAATCATGGTTTAATGTGCTATGTATAATTTCACCTTTGCTTTCCATAGGGGTTCACAACACTCATCCATTTGCTTGTGCCATACAGCATGGTCAAGTGTCCTGATCATGAGAACTGATAACCAGAATCCCACCCTCAGAATTCTACTATGCAAATCTAACATAAGACGTGGGTTATGGGAATTCTTCTGAGGCTGTCAACATACAGTGTGCCTGGGCTGGACTCTCCGGCTGACTGGATAGACCATTTTTCTCCTCCTGGATTTTGAATGCCATTTATGTACTTGCTAAACTATCTTTTTCTCCCACCAGGCTCAGCCACCCCTTGAAAACTGGCTGTAGGAGTCACCTTTGCCCAGAGCCCCCAAGCTTGCTTCATCCCACACCCACAGTGTGAATATGGAGTGTGAACATAGAGTGAATGCTCACCCTCTGACTATCTGGGAACCCTAGTAAAGGCTCTGTTCCATCCCTGCAAGGCCCCAAAGTTGCTTGTCTTCAGAGTTTGTGTCAGGGTGCCTACACTCCCATGTGGCCAGAGACAAGACAAAGAGCCCCAACTTCGCTTATGGTTTAGGCACTGTGAGGATGCTACAGGGCATGTCCTGGGTCAGTTTTCTCCCATCCTGCTAGAAAGCACAAAGCACAGGTCTTGGTTTCTTGCCCCAACATTCAATATTCATATGGGCCTCTGGCTTGGGCAGTGCAGAGACTGAAGTTTGGATACTTTGTAGCTATACCTTACAGCCAGGGGCACCGGTTGCGGAAAAACACAAAAGTAAGCACACGGGGGTGGGGTGGAAGGTGGGAGGTGGGGCGTGGGGGGTGGGAAGAGCATGTCAGCCAGGAGTTGGCGGAAGAGCACACAGTGGGAGGGTGTTGTGGGAAGGCGTCTCCGGTGTGTGGGTGGGTGGTGGTGTCCGGAAAGCCAGGTGGGCTGTGGGGCTGAGCACCGCGCCGTTCTGTTTCGACTTCTGGTGTTTGGAGTCCAGCATTTGCCAGCCTCTTCCTGAAAAAGAACAGTGTTTTGGAAAGGTACCCGGCACCGTGTTGCTGGCCCTGTGGTTCCAGCCTGGGTGGGGGGATTCAGAGAGCCTTGCCTTTTTCTTCCTCAGATAAGGGTCTCATCAGGAATGGACCTTGGTCCCAGCCAGCAGGGAGTTAGAGTACTGGACAAAACGGGAGTCCTAAGATAGCTTTCTTCCTCATCTACAAGAGCCTTGAACTTTCTGTTGGGAGCTGTTGAGGCACATGATGGATGAGGCCTCTACAAATGGCACATTAAGCTGCATTGTGGATTTAGCCTTTGCTAGTACAAAACAAAAAAAGAGGTTTCTGGGCTACATGCTACTTGGATAAAAACATAGACCCACGATAGCTCCCAGAGCTGGTGGTAAAGTACCACGCCATGTTGGGAAGCTGAGGTGGGCGGAGCCAGCAGCCACAGCTGCTGTAGCTTAAAGCAATAGATTCACAATAAGACAGATTCAGATGTAATAGTTTAAAATGTGTGTAAAATATACGTAGGCTTAAAAGAGACAAAAAAAAAGGTGATATATACAGTATAGAAACAAATACATAGTTTTAAAAAATAAAGTCTTTAAAGAGACAGTAAAATTAATATAAAAAATAAGCCACGTAGAGATGACTATTACACAGAGAGTCTAGATTGTGTTGTCTTTGGGATTCTTAACTACAGAGAGATATTTGATTGTAAAGGAAGCTGAGTTAAACCAGTATATATATTTTAAAGATACTTTGACTTCAAAATTTGGATGTAAGGATATGTTGCTTTGAAAAAGAGTCTCTTTTGTTTCCACAGAAAGCAAGAGGCTATGAATTTGTTCCAGAGTAAGATACATCAGGTTTGACCAGCCAAGACCACCTGAAAGGTCTCAGATGACACCATAGCCCAGATGATCCAACATCCAGAACCGTTTCAAGACAACTGGCTCAGATGATACAGCCTCACGGACTACTCCATGATCCTAAAATTTTCTTTGTTTCCCCAGAAGATACAGCACCCCCCTCCAGCAGGAAGTAGTAAGAGAAGCTACGCCCATATTCCCAAATATACCAAGCTGACTTTGGAGATGTGTAAAGGTTAAAACCTTCCTTTTTAAGAAAAAAAAAGGGGAAGTGCTGTGAGATGGTCTGTATGTCAAATGTGTTGCTGATTGGTCAATGAATAAATCACTGATTGGCAGTGGCCAGGCAGGAAGTATAGGCGGGACTAACAGAGAGGAGAATGGAGAGAACAGGAAGCTGGAGGGGGGAGACACTGCCAGACGCCATCAGGACAAGGAAGATGTAAAGTACCGGTAAGCCACAAGCCACATGGCAAGGTATAGATTAATAGAAATGGATTAATTTAAGCTGTAAGAACAGTTAGCAAGAAGCCTGCCACGGCCATACAGTTTGAAACCAATATAAGTCTCTGTGTTTACTTGATTGGGTTTGAGCGGCTTGGGACTGGCGGGTGAGAGATTTGTCCTGATTGTGGGCCAGGCAGGAAAACTTTAGCAACAAGATTTCATGTTATATCCATCAGAATGGCTAAGACCAATAAAACAGCTGACAGCTGAGGCTACTGAGGATGTGAAGTCATCCACTGTTGGAGGGAGTACACACTTATATAGCCACTATAGAAAGCAGTGAGATGGTTCCTCAGGAAGATGGGAATCAGTGTACCTCAACATCCAGATCTGCCATTCTTTGGCATACGTCTAAAGGATGCTCCATCCTACTACAAGTACACTTGCTCAACTTTGTCCATTGCTGCTCAATTCATAATAGCCAGAAATTGGAAACAACCTAGATGTCCATCAGCAGAAGAATGGATAAAGAGAATGTGGTACATTTATGCAATGGAATATTACTCTGTCATTACAAAATGAAATTCACTAGGGAAAATCATCCTGAGTGAAGTAACCCAGACCAAGAAAGACAAATACGGTATTGTTATTGCTTACATGTGGATATTAGCTCTTAATTCAATGATAAGCAAGCTACAATTCATAGAACCACAGAAGTTAGGTAGAGAGTAAGGACAAGTGGGGACATATAGTTCTTCTTAGGAGAGAGAAATGAAATAGTTATGGATGGATGATGCAAGGAGACTGGAATGTGAGGATCAAATGGCAGGTAGAAGGGAGGAGGGGAGCATGGGAGGAAATATGAGGAAAGACTGCTAAAATTAAGGGACATTTGAGGGGTAGTATGGAAACCTAGTATAGTAGAAGCTTCCTAAAATATATACATATATGGTGGTCATCTAAATGAAATTGCCAAATAGTGGAAGAGGTCACTCTTCTTGTCACATATGTATCTTCCATTACAGGATGAATTACATTTAATTGAATTGTTGGCCAAAGGGGTTTTATGGGAATCCCCAAACAACCGACATTTTTGTCAAGTCTGTATGTGTTCTGCACAAACTGATAACAAGGTTCTAGTTCTGAAGACCACACCAACACAATTCATTGAACATAGAGAAGTGGAGCTTGTGCTACTTAAAGCCTTTATCCCTAGATGCTGAGTCTTTGTTACAGGAAGGTACTCTACATTCTACTAAAGGAGAAGCATATACACCAACCCAGCTACAATCTTTTTGCTCTGCAATAGTGTCCTACCTTCAAGATATGTCAGTGCAATAATGGCACAAAGCTTGGAATAGTAGTCAACCAGTATCTGACTTATCTTAAGGCCCACTCCATAAGATGGAACCTATACCCAGCACTATTCTGGTAACCAAGAACCTGAGATAAATTGCCCAGAGACCTAGGGTAAAACCAAATAATAATGTTCTAAAAACAAAACAGACAGATAAACCCCACAAAGGCCAAAAAACAATGTACCAATAAAATGACTCCTAATGACATTCTGTTGTACTCATAGATGAGTACCTCGCTTAGCCCTCATCAGAGAAGCTTCCTCTTGCAACAGATAGGAACAAATATAGAGACCCACAGCCAGACAATCATCAGTGTGAGAGATGTTTGCAACACTCAGCCTTAAACAGGATGTCTCTATCAAATCCCTCCATTCAGGTCTAAGGGAACTCAATGGGAGAGGAGATGGAAGAGTATAAAAGCCAGAGTTGATGGAGGACATCAAGGAAACAAGGCTGTGTACATTAACAGGATAAATGACTCTATGGACTCACAGACACTGAGGCAGCAAGAACATGGGTCTATGCCAGAAGGGGTCCTAGAGCTAAAAGAAGAAGAGAACACATGCTCCCTGACCCAGTAGCTATCTCCAATTGACAACCACTTGCAAATGAAAACCTAGTTTTCTCCAAAGGAGTCTCATTGGGGAAACAAACTACTTTTAAGGGTAATCTGCCTATCTAGAAGCAGGTGGCCAACAGAAAATGAACCCAACAGCATGTTTGGAGGTTCCTTGTCTCATACTGTTGTGTCTGGACTTTTTGTTTATCTTATTTTTTTAAGTTTTATTTTCATAATTTAATTTTATTTTATATATTTTTACTTTTTTCCTCTCTTTTTACCCTACAGGCATTTTGCATATATATCATGACCTCTAATTTAATGTTCACATAGAATTCCTGAGTGAGTGAATGAGTAAGTCTCTTGTGCCTACTCCTTGTGACCTCTCTTGGACTCTTTTCCCTCTGTTTGTTTTGTTTTGTCCTATTTCAATGTTTCAGTTTTTTATATTATATTATGATATTATTATTCCTTGGAAGCCTCTTTGTTTACTAATGAGAGACAGAAAGGGTGTGGATCAAATGGAAGGAGAGATAGAAGGAACTACAAGAAGTATAGAGAGAGGAAACCATAATCAGGTATTAGAAAAAACTATTTTTAATAAAAGGAAAATAATAATATATGAATATGCAGCAAGAAAACACAAAGAGTTGAATAAAATGTCAATTCAAGATATGATATGAAAATAAAATTCAACAAAGAGATGGTATTTCTGAAAAAGAAAAACTCAAACTTAAATGATGCTTGAAATGCAGAACTCAGTAAACCAAATAACAACCCCATCAGATAGCCTCAGCAATAGAATGAACCGTGCAGGAAATGCAAAATTGGGGCCAGAGAAAAGGTAGAGGAATTGAATTCCAAGTAAAGAACAATTTTACATTTATGAAAATCCACAAAGAGAATATGGGTAAGTTTTGGACACCACAAAAGTCCCATCTTTTGATTATGGGTATAGAAGAAGAACATCATAGCAAATGTGTAGAAAATGTCTTCATTAAGACCATAGAAGGGAATTTCCCAAACCTAGAAAAAAAGATGTCGTATCGGTTACAAGCCTACAATATCACAAATAAATAGATGCAGAAAAGAACCTCCTCTGTGACATATTATAGTTAAAGCACTAAAATCACAGAATAAACAAAGGCTGTCAAAACCATAAAAGAGACAAGTCAAGACACTTATGAAGGCAGGCCCATCTAATAACACCTAATTACTGAAAAAAATCTTTTAAAGCCAGAAAAGCTTAGAAGTATGTATAACAAGTTCTGGATGATCACAACTGCCAACTCAAATTGTTATACAAAGAAAAGAACTATACACTAAAATTGAAGAAGAGATACAAAGAAAAACTTTCTTTGACAAAAACAGATTAAAAGAATGTGTATCAACTAAAGCAGCTCTACAGAGGATACTGGAAGGAATACCTCCATCTGAAAACAGGGATAAACACCTGAAAGGTTACAGGACAATTCTAAAACAGTTTGTCAAGAGAAGTCCATGAAAGCAACACAAAGCAACAAAATGATATAAACTAATGAGCCCTGTTTGATAATAATTCTTTAATGATCTCAATTTCCAATGAAGAGACACTGACTAGCAGTTATCTTTAGAACAGAACCCATCTTTTTGCTGCTTATAAAAGACATACCTCACTATCAACACTGAACACTGCTTTGGGGTTAAAGGACAGAAAATGGTGTTTCAAATGAATGGAAGTAGGAAACAAGGGCGAGTAGCTGTTCTAATATCTGTCAAAAGAAACTTCAAATAGAACTAGTCAGAAGAAATAAGGAAGGTCACTTCATATTCATTAAAGGAAGAACTCACCAAGAGGAGATACAATTCTAAACACATATATACAAGAAACAATGTTGGCACCAAAACCTCAGAATAAGCCCACACAATGAGAGTAGCTAACCAAAACATAGCCAACACCAAAAGAGTTGACAGGAAGAAATCATCAAAATCCAGGCTGAAATGAGTGAAATGGAAAGGAAAAAAAATCAACACAAGGAATCAATGAAGTGGGTTGGTTCTTTGAAAAGATTAACAAGATTCACAAACTTTTAGGGAAATTAACTAAAAGAAAGCTATAAGAGGCCCAGACTAATAAAATGTGAGATGAAAAGGGAGATTTTGCAATACTTGATCCTAATTTATGTGTAGGAGAACACCATATGCTTCAGTGCCACACCTGTGGTGATTATATCTTCCATCATTCCTGTCACATAAAAGATTAATGAGGAAAAAGTTTTTTATTCTGTAAAAAAAAAACAAAATCAAACTCATGAGTTAAAACAATGTTTTTATCATTTTGTCTTCAAATTAAAATTACAGTGCCAGAAATTAGCCAACTAAACTCACAGTGCCTTTCAATAATTTTGCAGTATGATCAAGTATGATTTATTTACAAAGGGCATGGTGATCCATATAGAAATCCAAGTACATGCTAAACCATCAGTTGAAAGTAGGAACTGCATGATCATTTCCGTGGGTGCAGAAATGGTGTTTGATAATATACAATCTTCCTTTGTGATGAAAATCTCAAAAAGATCATAATAGAACAAATGTACATCATCATGACAAAGACTATACAATGATTCACTGAAATCTAATATCATATCCAATAGAGGGAATCTGAAGGCATTTTTTTTCTGAGATTTGTACCATGACAGTATGCTCACTCTCACCATTAACAATATACCATGATCCCTGAAGCTGTATACAGAGCAAATAAACAAATGAAATAACAATACACAAATTAGAAAGAAAAAAAGCCAATTTACTCCCTTTGCTGGAAACCTCATAGAGATGAAACAAAAGACTTTCCCAGAAAAAAAAAACATTAGAATTGCTAAAGCAGTTAAATAGTAGGGTACAATACAATGACAGAGAAATAAGTATCATATCGATATACAGCTAGTAAAATAACTGAAAAAAGAAATTGAGAAATTAATACCATTTTATAATAGCTACCTGAAACTACTATTGTAAACCTCTATACTCTAAGCCAAACTGTCCCATCTTCATGAAATCAGCCATGCCTACTTGCAAGAGACCATCATGATTAGGCCTATGGACTGCTGATATTCTCTCCAAGAAGGAAGTGGCAAGGAGGGTCACTAGAACCTTGCCTTAATACCAGGCCACTTTTCCTAGCCATATCTATGGAATTCTGCCATAAATATATGTGGTCTTGGGGTCTTGGGGATTGGCTTGAGTATAAAGGATGGGAGAAGTTAACTGAGGGGGATCTCTCCATTTGTCCGGCACAAGAGAGCCATCATCCATGTTGCATACACACTTACACAGCAACTGTTTTAGAGCCACCCACACTCTTGCCCATAACTTCTTACATGCTCTGTAAGTTAGCCTCTAATAACCTCATTGTTTTTTTAGAGTGAACTTTGGTGGAATTCAACTTCAGTTTGTTCTTGGCATCTTAGGGGGTAGTTAGTATTATTTGGCATCACCCACCTCCTCAAAGGAAAAAAAAATCTTACAAAAACTGCCTAGAATTAAATTTGGTCAAGAAACAGAATTATCTCTACAATGAAACCATAGAACATCAATTAAAGAAACTAATGAAGTAGAAGGAATACAAGCATCTCCCATGATATTAGGTTAGAAGCACTGATATTGTCAATGTTCACACCTCGCAAAAATGTCTTCAGAGTCATTTCAGTTTTCATCAAAATACCAAATCTATGGTTCACTGAAATAAAGATGGCAACATTACAATTCATATAAAGTGTCAAAAGACACCACAAAACCTAGACAACTGTGAATCTTAAATATAAAGCTAGGCACAACAAAACATCTGAATTTTAAATTATCACAAAGCTATAGTATCAAACACAGTGCAGTACTGTCAAAAACACAGACTCAAAGACTTCTGGGTAAGATGGAGGATTCAAAACCAAGACAGAATTTGTTGATCGATTCAGAAAATGCCTCCATCAGATTGACCTGTAGACAAGTATGCAGGACATATTTGTGATTAATGACAAATGAAGGAAGGGCCAGCTCACTGTGGGGATACCACCCCTGGGCAAGTGGTCCTGGGTTAAAGCAAACTGAGAAAACTATAGGAGAAAGCCAGTAAGTGGCCTCCTTCATGGTCTCTGCTTCAGTTCCTGCCTCCAGATTCTTACTGCCCTGACTTCCCTCTGATGGACTGTGATTTGGAAATATAAAATGAAACAAACCTTTCTTCCCAAAGTTACTGTTGGTCAAGGTGTTCATCACTACAACAGAAAGCAAATTAGAACATCTGGTATATATAGACAGTAGAATACTCCTTGGATTTAAAGAAACAACAAAAATCCTTCATCTGGAGCAGGTGGATGAAATTAGATGACGTTAAGTAAAAGAAGCGAAGCATAGGAAAATAGCTACAAGCTCTTAGTCAAATGTGGAAACTAATATTGTTGACTTCATATGAGTAAAGGGTAAAATAGTGGATGTAGGCTGGGAGCTGCAGGAAAAAATGGGTACACACAGGGTTTTGTGATGCAATGCAACAATATAGGTAGATGAGATGTGGCATGTTCAGAGTGGTGTCGTCATAGACTGACAATACAAACAGACAAAACTAGTAGAGTGTAATAGAGTGATGATACTACATTGATACTAGTAAAATGATACTAGTAAAATTTACTGTGGATTTCAAAATAGGTAGAAAACTACTTGAAATGTTCACAAGAATAATAAGTAAAAACTCTGAAATGATGGATGGATAAAAGAAATATAGATAATTATAGTTTGGTCTGTATTTGTGACTTTGTCTGGAAACATGTGTTCATGTTTCCTCAGGAAAAGTTCAGTCAATGAATCTGTTGTCAGTGCCCTACCTGAAATGAACAGATAGATGTTTGCTCTCATCTTTCCAAGAAAAGTTAACACTACATTCTGAATGAGTCCAGCTAGACAGATCACATAACCTTTTGAGTCCCATTCACACCAGATCAGAAAAAAGTCCATATCAGTGCAGACCACAAGGAACAGAGTCTATAAAACCTAGAAAGTAAAGTTCCTGTCCCTCAGGATAATGTGAAGACATGTGTTCAGTCACTGAATATTTCCAAAGATAAGTGCTTTGTGAAAAGGTACATGAAGCCAAGGATCATATCGATCATGCTTTTATATTAAGACATGACAAATCAGCCCTTTACAGAAGAGGTAAGAAGTTGAAATTCTGGTGACACTGGGGGCTATGTCCTCAGCATGAGTGAAGGCCATGGGATCCAATTAAAAGTAGTTCTTTAGTGTTAGATTTTGAGCAAAATTTCATAGAGGGTGTTGATAGGGTGTCAGGAGATAATATCACTTGGAGGCAGATGGTAAAAAACAATCAACAAGAAAAAATTCTCTGTGCATAGAAACATCCCATTGGGAAATGTTGTTCCCAGACATGAAATCATAAGAGAAACAGTGAAATGTACCTAATGAGCAGACATTCAAAGATGTAAATATATCCCTTTTACATTTGCTCAGCATGTGTAACCTCTTTCTGCTCAGAACATGGCTGTTTGCATTGGCATCACCATTGACTCAGGGAATGAAGATTGATCTAGTCTTACTGTCTCATTTTATTATATAACTTTTGTCTCCACTGTCAACCATCTGGAGAATTTAGAATTCCACACAGAGACCTCCCATCTTTAAACCACCCAGGTTAGTGTGGAAACATGGCTAATATGGCAGGAAAAATCCTGCGACAGGGAAGAAAAAACATTTCACTACAGTTACCTTAGAACCAATCCAGAGCATCTCAGAGATGCCAGATGGCTATGGCTATTTACTGGCTTGTTTGATTAACTCAGTTGTATATTCGACATAACAGAAGGGGAAAGGGACACTGAACTCAGTGGGGCAGAGTCTACATTGAAGATGAACTGATGGCGATGGAAGCCCAATCAGGAGAGGAGTTGATAAGCTTCAGATGGCTGAGTAGTACGTGTGTTAAAAATTCTGTGGTTAATTAGGTGGAAAAGAGAAATTGAGTACTGCATTCACAGAATTGTAGAACAAAGTAAAGGGTATGTCTGCATTTTGAGCTGGACAACTGCTTAAAGTTACTTTTTATTATATTATATTATATTATATTTATTATATTATATTATGTTTTCTAGTTGCCATAGCTTCAATGTAATCTCCAGTTACGCTTTATATACCTTTGGAGTGCTTTTCTTATTTTGCTGAAATGTTTCTATCTTCTTACCTATGAATTTCTCACATTAGTCAAGATGATTTTATCTACCATGAACATCTCCTTATGTTCCCATCTAATGTACTGTTTAATTTGATAATGATGTCACTATTTCCCAAGTTTTTCTAAGATGCGAACTAGAGGACCAATTTTATGTTCCTTCTGTAAGATTGCCACTGATGCCATTTTTTTTTTACTTAATCATTGAAGCTTTTCAACTCCATTAAGATACAACATTGTCATATGTTAAATGTACATATACTCTGAGATCATTATGTACTGAACTTCTGCTGTAGACCACACAGTGAGTGGACTATTGTGCATTACATTCTTTAAGTGTAGTTTATTGTCAAGTAAATCAGCAATCTCCACTGGTAGCATTTGATTGTTAATACTATAGATGGTCTTTAACCTAATTACTGATGCCACATTGGATTTTGGTTAAGCCTGTTTTCTATTGTTGTTTAGAATTCACTGGATTTTGCACTTTTCCTTTGACATTCTTGCTATGTCCCACGCCCTTTTCTTTCCTTTTATCCATGTAATGCAGAAATATTCACACAGCACAGTGAATCTTCAAAGTAAGCAAAACAGTGGAGTGTCTGCTCATGCAGATCTCACTTTAGGAGGTTGAGTCACAGCACAATGGAATAAATGAAGGTACACACATGCCCTAAGGGTTAGTTGCAAAGAGTTTCAAAGGACATGTTCTGGGGGCATCTTTGCATGTTGGGTGGATGTTCTGGGGGCATCTTTGCAGGTTGGGTGGAGCAACAGGGAGAACCACACTATGCCCTTTGGATCTGGCCAAACAACTCAAGCTGCACTCACATTAGGAGATAAAAACAGAGATCTGCTGTGCTCTTGTGAATAAAAAAAATTACTGATAGTTCTGTACCTGTTTGTGTGGTTTTGTTCCCCACAGAATGAGAAATAATAATTGAGTTCCCTATGGACTCTAAAACATTGATCTTAAAAGCAGAGAATAGAATATAGTTTAACAGAAACAGAGTTGTGGAATAAGACTGGGAAAAGGTTGATCAATGGCATCATAGGGATATGCATTTTGGTGTTCTTTTGCCCAGTAGAGAGACAAGAGTTAAAAAATAATAAGTTAAATTGCATGTGAAGGACCCTCACAATATCAATGTCAGGCAAAACCCAGCACACAAAATCCCACCCCAAGCTGAGGAGCTAGTGGCAATTGATGGCTGCTAGAGGAGGAAGAGTCAGTCTTCTCTGAGGATCCTACCACTTAGAGGTTACCAGTGATGCATTAGATGGTCCCACACCCATACATATACTTACAGCACTAAGTGGAGTTGATGGGTTTCAAAAACAGAGCACATTAAGTTTGGAGGGAGAAGTGAGGTTAGGGAGAAGAGAAGAGAATGAGGGTGGATTTGACCAAAAGAAATTATATACATAAATGAAATTCTCAAACAACAAAATATCCTGTACACTATATTTCAAAATACCTTCAATAACATTGCATAGTCTTAGTATAATTAAGCAATATGTAGTTGAGATGATTAGTACACTCATTAGCTTGTTTTGATTGCTACACTCACATGCATGCATGTATTATATCTTCATACTGTAATCCAGAAGAGCATGCCATTACTATGCTCCAATAAAATTACAACACAATATAAATTCCAGTTAGTCAAATTTATATAGAAACTGTAGAAAAAAAGCACACTTAAAATATTCAGTATAAAACCCTCCAAAATTCTGTAGTTATTTGTATATTTCTTTTCAAAAACTTTATTTTAATTTATTTTATTTAAATTTTCTTCGTACAATCTATTTTCCTCATGTTTTTCCCAGCCTCCATATTTTTTTTGTGGAGGGAGGTTGTTTAATTTTATTTTGTTTGGGCATGTTTTATCTTGTTAGATTTTTGTTTGTTTTATTCTTGCCTTTGTATTTTTACCCAAATGCAAGTTCAGCTATTATGGCATCACTCTAAAAGATATTTTTACTTCTATATTGTAAATATTTTATTTTTGACATTTTACTGTTTTTTTAATCCTATAGGAGATAGGCTTTTAGTTGAAGTGCTGATGAAATAGAACTTTCCTTCATTATAAAGTCTCCAGAAACACATGACCATATAGGAACCCTTCCCCTGCTGCTCCACCCCACCCCACTCCCCACATAAGGATATCTAGCTTGTCTTATCTATGTCTTTGTCTCTCATGCTCTCTCTTTCTCTCTCACTCCATTACAAACTTTTTTTATTTGAAGTACCAGCTTTCTATCTTTTTGAAGACTAGTGTGCCCTTTGCCATCCTTCATGTATCACCTAACATCCCCATTTCTAAATACTATGCTATTCCTACACTTACAGGTGCATATATATATATTGCATATATATATATATATATATATATATATATATATATATATGTGTGTGTGTGTGTGTGTGTGTGTGTGTGTGTGTGTGTATAAGCATATATATGTATATATAAATGTATATGTTATGGACCAGGAGACACACATAAGGGAATTTGGATCACCTCACTATGTTGGACTTCCCAAGCTTATCAATTTCCTTGCAAGAAACACATTTTGATTCCAGTGGCTTGCTAACCATATTTTCTTTCTAATCATGTGACATGGGTTAGGAGGTCATGGTTTTAATGTGGTCCTCCTGGACCACAGCATGATACAGAGGTAGACCGTTAAACTAATGCATCACAACAACAAATAGATGCTTTTCAATTTACAAGAATGTAGTGTTACTTTTAGTACATTGACAGGATATAGACTAACATAGAAAACAAACCTCTTGGCATGTAAGTGAGGGGGATTTCTAGATTGGGTTAACTGAAGTGGACAGGCTTTCCTTAAATGTAAGTGGCACCGCCTGTGTGAATTCTGCATAAAAAGGAAGAAAATGATCTGAGCACCAGTATTCATCTCTATCTGCTTCCTGATCATGGATGCACTATGACCAGGCATCTTGTGATTCTGCCTGCCTCCCTTTCTCAGCCATGATGTGCCCTCAAACCATGAGCAAATAACCTTTCCCTAAGTTAATATCTTCAGATATTTTATCATGGCAATGGGAAGATAACAAATACACAGAAAATTTTGCAGCCAAGTTAAAATTAATGCAATGACATACGACAGTAGAAATGTCATTGTGTCTTGCTATTTCAACAGCAATAAAGCTGCTTCATCCTGCAGTATATTTTTTTGTTCATTCTCCTAGTCACACTACCTTTAGGTTAGACTTACACATTAAAACAAACACCTTCCTCAGAGCATTTCACTGGCTGTTCCTTCTGCAAGGCACATACTCCATTAGGTAACATAGCTCCCTATTATCTTTCTAGGGGTCTCTTTTCTCTTGTCTTTTTTTTTTCACCCACATGCTCAGTACAAAATAAATCTCCCTATATACCATCTCCTATGTAGCTTTGTTTCCTTTCATAGTAACTGTCACCAACTTACATCTTTCTTACACTATCACTTTAAGTATTTATTTGTTTTTATTTGTTTGTGTTATTTCATCCTCATGTGATTTGAGAAACATTTGTATTCTGCACTGACCAATTCTTTCCTGAGAATTGGCTCCTATACTATCATAACTAATTTATATTCCCAAATGTATTCAAAAGAGATAGTTAGCATTTAAAATTCATGACCATTCAAAACTCAGCCAGGAAAAGGCAGAGTGTGGTATGAAGTTTTTAAATCAGATGTGAGATGTTGCAAACTATTGCAGATCCTATTCATATCTAAAGTCTGCAATTCAAGTCTTGGATACAGGTTTCTCTAAGGTTTCACAATTGTGTCATGTATTTTCATGCCCTCTCTCTTTTCCTTAGTTACATCCACTAAATGGGGCCAGAGAATGACTCACAAATTTTACATTTTCTCCTTCTTGGAATTTCAAAGAACCCCAAACTGCAGCCTTTCTTATTTGTGCTGTTTCTGGCCATGTACTTGGTCACCATGCTTGGGAACCTGCTCATCATCCTGGCAACAATTTTAGGTCCCCATCTGCATACACCCATGTATTTCTTCCTGTCCAACCTATCGTTTGTGGATGTCTGCTTCACTTCTACAACTGTCCCGAAGATGTTGGTGAATATACACACACAAAGTAATGTCATCACATATAGAAACTGCATTGCCCAAATGCATTTCTTTATACTCTTTTCAGGGCTGGAAATCTTTCTGCTGACTTTGATGGCCTATGACAGATATGTGGCCATCTGCCACCCTCTGCATTATACTGTCATCATGAGCCCTCGACTCTGTGTGCTGATGGTCCTAGCATCCTGGATCATGAATATCCTTCATTCCACAACACAAAGCTTAATGACATTGCGACTCTCCTTTTGTACCAACTTGGAAATTCCACACTTTTTCTGTGAACTTAATCAAGTTGTACACCATGCTTGCTCTGACACCCTTCCCAACGATGTGGTTATCTATTTGGCAGCTGTGCTGTGGGCTTGCTGTCCCCTGATGGGCATCCTTTACTCTTACTGCAAGATAGTTTCCTCCATTCATGCAATTTCATCACTGCAAGGGAAGTACAAAGCATTTTCGACGTGTGCATCTCACCTATCAGTTGTCTCTTTATTCTATTGCACAGCCCTGGGTGTTTACCTCAGTTCTGCTTCAACAGAAAATTCACAGTCAACTGCAAGAGCCTCCGTGTTGTACAGTGTGGTCACTCCTATGCTGAACCCCTTCATCTACAGCCTTAGGAATAAAGATATAAAGAGGGCACTGAGAAACATATTGGGATGGAAGGAATAGAATATTCCTTTACTTGGGTGCTGAACATGATTATGTGTCCATGATCACACAGCTCAGAGTTCTCTGATGGGATCTTGAAAGTGGAATGTGCTTCCTCTGTTTTATCACTGGAGTTTCTCATTCTTTGTTTTCAGCTTCTCTATACAATTCAATCAGGGGATCCACTTTATCACTGTCTGCATTCACTATAACATTCATTTCTCTCTCTTTTGTCCTTTCCCAAATTTCCCAACATTTTTCTCAATCTTTGAATCAAGAAATATTCATAAATCCTCACTGATCACAGAGAATAACGTTTAGAAATAATTTCCTTGCAAGGGACATGTGTCAGACTTAGAATTTTTAAATTTTTATTTATTATTCATGCATGTGTGACTGTATAATACATACATGCTGACCCACATGCTGTGACTAACATGTGGAGGTCAGAGAACATTTTTGTGGAGTCAGTTCTCATTTCTCACTTTTGTATAAGTTCCAAGGATTGAATTCAAGTCATCAGAATTTCCCCGCAACTGTCTTTACCTATTTTGCTATCCCTAGACTCAGTAATTTAATAAACAATCAGATACTAGAGTGTTTCAGTGGTCTGTTTATCATTCCATGGTGTCTTACTAATAACTATCTTTCATAATAATATAAACAATAATATATTGGCATGTGTAATGGTTTGTAACTAGATTTTGTTCATATATCTAGGATCCCATATCTATTTTGACACAATGTCTGTAGTTCCTACCATAATGTCTGGTAAATGACCTAAGGGTTGTCTAATCCATGTCCTTTCAGAGGCAAATTTTTGTGTGTGTATGTGCATGCTCACACATGTGCTTGCAATATAGAGATAATTTTCAGTGTTAATATTGATATGTAAATGGTAAACATATTAGTGTTATATTCTGCTTTTTCCTTATGCATTCATCCAATAAATAATCACTCAGGTGGATCCCCTACCTTAATTACTATGAATATTGCACAATAAGCATGTGTAAGTTTTTTTCTTTGTTGATTTCATTTCCTTGTTCCCACAGTTACTATCATAGATATGACATTGTACCATAATTTTTCTTGATGTTGCCATTGGAAGAGCTGAGTAAAGAATTTCTTTCCATCATTTCTTATTACTATATGTTCAGCTGTAATTTTTGCAAAATAACAAAATAAAATACAATGTGGTACATGAAAAATTACATGAGACCATGGATGTGAGTGTCATGGTTATATATTCAAGGGAGCACAATCCCCCATTGTTTAAAGCAGAGTGGTAATTTTCTAGAGACAGCAAGCTGTGCATTAGCAACATGTGAAATTTCAAGGAACCTACACTTGAGAGAAAACTTTAATTGGCTCTAGTATTTGTTAGAAGATAAATAACCTTTAGTGTAGAAACTTGGTGGAGAAGGAACAATAGTGTTTCCCCTGACTTTTATCCAGGTCACCTGGGAGCAGACAATTCAGGAAACATTTTTGTTGCACACAGGACAATATCCCACAGGGTTTGGAGTGCCCAGGAGATGGAGTAACAAGAGAAATGTGCCCAATAAGCTGGAAAAACATCAGTCTCCTAGACTTTCTATCTTTCAGATTATGCAGCATTGATCTGGACAGGACATGATTTTTTTCTTAAAATCTTAATAGTGGTTTAAGGGCCGGTGTCCTCATTTGGAGGTCAGACAACAACTTGGACAGGTCAGTTCTCTCCTTTCACCATGGGGTTGGAGAATGAGGAGGAAAATCAGGTCATCTCACCTGGTGGCAAGCGTCTTTACCTACTGAAGTATTTTGTTGATTGGAGGAGATAGATTTCCATTTCTATATCTGTGGCTCCAGCATCCTGCTTCCAACCAGATGACCTGGGGATGTGGCCAGAGGCTGTGTGTCAGCTCTAAGTCTCAATACCACCTCTCTGAGCACATATGGATTAAATGGGGAAACTGTGGGTTGGGGGAAGAGAAGTCATGATTTTGTTAGCATCTGCAGAGATCTTACAAGGTTCACATCACACTCTACAGGTTGACTCTGACACTCCCCAAAACAAGGACAAGTAAACATATGGAGATAAACTACCATTGTAGCAGAAAGGGATGAATTTAGACCAGCCATTCAGAGAACAAGCAATAGCTACTAGAAAGAGCTGGTATAGTCTACAGACAGGAAAACAGAGATATAGTGCCTAGATCAGGAAGCATTGGTTCAAGGCCAGAATTTCTGCCTAGAATCCTGCCCAGAAGTCCATCCTGGGTTCAGTGCTCACTTTGTTCACCCAGGCTTCCCTGCCTCTCATGTTGAGTGCAGGCGAGCTTCATGGAGTAATGCTTGTAACTCTCCTGGTTCCTCCATCCTTGGGATCTTAGCAGCTGCTTGATTCCAGGCATGGAGTAGAATCAGCTCCTCTTGCACTCAGCCAAGAATTAAGCTTCACCATTTCTCCTTGTGCTAGGTCTGATCACATCAAAGCTTCCTTCGGCAACCTGTGACACTGATGTTGTGCACCATCCCCCACTACTTTGATAAGGCAGAAGGACATATCAAGCTTGGAGATTAATATCTGTCACCATGGAGTGACTAAAGAAGTCAGAAGGTTGGATGTAAGGTAGAAGGTCATGGAAGTCCTTTGTGAGAGGATAGTATACAGCAAGGCCATATACCATAGACCATCAGGATCCTCAACTATAAATGGAATATTAGCAAGTCACTTATATTGAAACAATCATGGTGGCTCATGCCTGTGATCTCCACACTTTAATGGCTAAAGCAGGAAAGTCACAATTTCAAGGAGGCCATGCAGGGCCACAGACTAAGTCCCTCTCAAAACTAAAATAAACTGTTTTGATCTTAATTCCACTTCTATTACTTACCAGCAGTGTGATCCTTTCCAAGTGCTTTTCCCTTTCTGAGACACTGTTCTTTACCTATAAAGTAGGGAGTAAAGTCCATACTTCATGAGGTAGTTGTGAGGCTCAAAATTAGAGTCTCTTGGCATAGACTTGGCAATGTAAGTTCTCCGTACAAAATTGCCATAGCAGCACACGAATGTAACCCTGGAATTTTGGAGGTGAAAGCAAGATGTGAGTACAAGACAAGTCTAGATGTGTGTGTGTGTGTGTGTGTGTGTGTGTGTGTGTGTGAGAGAGAGAGAGAGAGAGAGAGAGAGAGAGAGAGAAGGATCAAAGAAAAAAGAGGCTATCTGAGAGAGAACATGAGAGGGGTTGGAAAAAGGAGACATAGGAGGGCCTAGAAAGAGGAAATGAAAGGGGGAAAGTAATATAAATATATTTTAATTTAAAAAGGGAAGTATTTTCCAAGACTCTAATCTGCAATTCTTCTTCTTTCTATGCCCATCATGTATAGATTTGACATCTTAATGGTGTCTCAAAAATGCTGTATGATCTGTTCATGTGCTAAGTTTCTTGTTTACTTTGAGGACATGAGGGATCCAGTTCTTCTATTTTGTCTTCAAGTGTTGATATTCTTTCTTCTACATGGTCCAGTATGTTGGTGAGGCTTAACACTGAGTTTTTTGTTAGATTAGTTTTTCATTTACAGCTTCATATTTGTTTAAATTTTTTTATTATTTTTATCTAATTCTTGAATTCTAAACTCTAAATTATAAATTCTAACTCTCATGTTGCTCACATGTGTAGCAATTTTTTTTGTAAAGTGAAGATAATTGGAATCAATAGAGTTTGCTCTCTCTGCATATAGGAAAGACATGACTTTGAGCCCTTTGGTGTGAATAAAACAGATGGTCCATCATCAACAAAAGATGAGCTAAACTGAAAAGGGAGGCAACCCTTAGGAGATGGGTGAGCCTTAAGTCAATAGAAAAGAAGAGTGGCAACGCCTGAGAGAAGGCAGCCTCAACTTACTTAGAAAGCATCTGATTGCTGACACCGTGTGTTAAATAAGGTCATAGCAGCAGGTACAGTCCATGGCAGGTGGGAGAGAGTTGGTTCCCTAGACAGGTACCGAAACCAGATTCAGGTGGAAGGAACTTTAGGGATGCAGAAAGACTACTGCCTCCTGGCGAGCTGGCAAAAAGGTGGTACAATAGAATCTCCTGAGAAC